CCAAGATCCGGTAGTTCAATCTGACAAAACAGATGATAAATGGATGACATTCAGTGCAGATTAGATAGCTTGAACTGCTGAAATGCAAAAACAATGACAATCCATACAGCAACAAATCCTGTCCATTTGAAATTTTTGTTCAAACTGAACAAATTTAAGTAAATTAATTTGTAGAATAAAAATGTAAAAATGTAGAATAAAAATCATTTTAAAATAAAAAAAAATCTAAATAAAACATGCATAAAAAAAAAAAAAAAAAATGTAAGAAATAAATAATTAAAAAAGTAAAACAATTAAGATAATGCACATACTAAATGAATGAAATTGTAAAAATGTCAAATAAAAATACGTAATTTAAAAATATAGCAACTTAAAGTAAAACATTTACCAAAATGAATTCAATCATAAAAATGTCAAATTAAAATTAATAAACAAATCAAAATAAAACACGTATCAAATCATAAAAACGTAGAATATAACACTTAATTATATATACTGTTCTTTTGCAAGACAGGATTTTTCTAGTTGACTAAAACCATACAAAAAACAATATGGACATCACATAAATGAAAAAAAAAACTAAACTAAATTACTAAAACTAAAATTAAAATGTGAATATTAAATATAAAAATGAACTCAAAAGATTTTATGAACTGAAATATTATCAGAGACACCAAAATAACACCGGTATATAAGAAAATATTTCCAATCACAAAATGTGTTTTAGTTTTACACACACATCTTTGTGGTATGAAAATTAACTCAATTTACCAATTCTTTAATTAAATGTATATGAAATGTTTAAATTAATAATTAAAAAAATGTATATAGCCATTTTATGTATTTTAAAACACATTTTGCCATTTGGTAATTTCTCCCCAAATCACCAATTTTTATCCTTAAAACGGCAGATTTACCATGAACTTGTCCAGCTGGCCCTGCTCAAAGTTATCGGTTTTGTTGGTGAGTCTCATCTCGTCCGACTTGCCCTTCTCTCCGTATATCTGGAGTAAGACAGATGCGTCTGTTCCCGCGCCTGGAAGATCTGACGTCCAGATCCAGAGAGACCAGGGATGCTCTGAGGAGCAGGAGATCCGTTTAACCTCACAAAACCTGCTTCTCTCTCACATTATGAGCAATACTCACTTTTTTGCCTCTTCTGCCTGAGCGACACCATTTCATACAGTTCCCTCTCGATGAGCCCGTCAGCCTCGTCCTCATCCAGCCATTTAGAGCAGGGGAACGTCTGCTCGATGCCAGTGAACGGACAGAAGATGACCGCCTACCACACAGAAAACACAGACAAATGAAGCATTTAAAGATGCTGCATTTTCAGTTTAGGACAGCACAGGTGAATAAGGGGAAATATTGTAACCAGTGTTGGGGAAAGTTACTTTTAAAAGTAATGCATTACAATGTTGCGTTACTCCATAAAAAGTAACGAATTACATTACTTAGTTACTTTTTATGGAAAGTAGTGCGTTACGTTACTTTCGCGTTACTTTTTAAATCTGGACAGGGCTTGCTTGTTTGTTTTAAAATAAAAAAAATTATATTTCTGGCAAATATAAAAGCCTTTTCAGACCAGAGGTGAAGTGAATGCGCCTCAGGCTGAAGGGAAAGTACAGTAGAATGCAGAAGAAGACATCTCAACACACTTCAGCAATAAACAAACACACACAGATGTGTGTCTAGAGTAATGTGTGCTTATTAGTACGCTTGAACTGGATCATCGAAGCTCAGAAGCAAATAGAACAGGATTAAATACATAAAGCATATTTGTGTTGTTTAACATTTAATTATTGCAGGTTTGTGTCATATTCTGAGTTGCGTTATTTTTATTCATTTTGAGGAATACTGAATCTGTATTTTGTGAGTGAGATGAATTAATGCATATTCATATTTATTTTAGAACTACAGTAACATCTTCTGATTTCTGTCACCATGGCGACACCAGAGCTGTCAATCAATACATTGGAAAAAGAAAGTAACTTGCGTTACTTATTTGAAAAAGTAACTCAGATATTCTCTTGTAAATTAAAAAGTAATGTGTTACTTTACTAGTTACTTGAAAAAAGTAATCTGATTACGTAACTCACGTTACGCCCCCAACACTGAATGTAACTAATATATGACCATAGTTTCCCAGTTGATTAATCACAGTACATTGACAACTGTTTCGTATTACAAGTTTTCTAAAATGTCATGTTGAAATACGCAAATGAGACAGTATCTAATTAAATATGCACTAATTTGCATACATTTCCAGAGCATAAATCGGAAATTTTCTTTTTATCGCTCCATAAATCAGAACATTTTTGAAGGTAAAAAATGTAATTGCAACTTTTGAACTCACAATTCAGATTTTTTTATGTTTGCAAGTCAGAATAGCGAGATATACACTCAGAATTACAAAACTGCGAGATATAAACTTTTTTTTAGTTTTTATAATTGTAATACATTTTGCAACTCTGAGTTTATATCTCACAATATTTTTTTCCTCAGAATTGCAAGTAAAAAAGACAAAATTGTGAGAATTCAATTCAGAACTGAAAAAAAAGAAAAAAGTCAGAATTATGAGATGAAAAAATTCACAATTACTTTTTAACATTTTTTAAAAGCTTCCATACAGTCAACAGACAAAAAAACAAATACATTTTCACCATGTTTTAGGAATAAAATGTTGTATAAATCACTGTGAATGAAATATAACCGAACCTTCAGAATACACAGAGGAATAAAACCCTAAAGTGTGGTGCTTGTAAGAGAAAAAACTCTGTAAAGATATGGATTGGATTTTAAATCTACAGACGCAAACAGTGCAATAAAATAAACACTTAAATGAACTAAAAAAAAGGAAAAACATTATGATGCAAAATAGACTAAAATCTATAATTCAACTAGAGTATGTCTCGCCTTAATACTAAATAATTGTTGCTGTTTTTTACAAACTAAATGACAAATTGAAAATATTTTTGATGATAATCAACGGTGGAGTTTAAGCAAAGGTGACACATGAAATGAACCGAATGGAGGACAGAGCCTTGACCTTGTCGCAGTACCAGCCGGCACTGACGCCTCCGTTATCGTGACCGATCGTGACTCGGCTGAGCGGACTGAGCAGCGCCGCGATCTCCACGTTAAAGATGTCGGTGAGGCCGCGCTCAAACGTCCCTCCTTCCAGGAAGATCTTGCCGCTGTTCTTCATTCCTTTGGAGCCGTGCATGATCATGTGGATTTTGGAGTTGGTACCTGCACCTCTGATCTTCCCTGTCACCACCTGAACGTTGTACACGATGCCTGCAAAAATATATAATATATATATATATATATACAACATATATACACATGTTATAATGAGTCCAGACTGGCTCATCATCAGTGTTTTTGAAAAAAGTTCCATCTGCGCACCAAGGTTGCATTTATTTGATCTTAAATATACAGTAAAAATGTGAAATATTATTAGAATTTAAAACAGCTGTTTTCTATGTGAATATGTGTTAAACTGTAATGTATTTCTGTGATGTGCAGCTGTATTTTCAGCATCATTACTCCAGTCTTCAGTGTCACATGATCTTCAGAAATCAGTATAATATGCTGATCTGCTGCTCGAGAAACATTTCTGATTATTATCAATGTTGAAAACAGTCGTGCTGCACGATATTTTTGTGGAAAACGTGATACACTACCATTCAAAAGTTAACGGGGTTAGTAAGAAGATAAAAGAAAGAAATCAATACTTTTATTCATCAAGGATGCATTAAATGGATCAAAAGTGCCGGTAAAGACTTCTATTTTAAATAAATGCTGTTCTTTTAAAATTCCTGTTCATCAAAGAATCCTGAAAAATAAAATGCATCACAGTTTCCACAAAAATATCATGCAGCACGACTGTTTTCAACATTGATAATAATCAGAAATGTTTCTCGAGCAGCAGATCAGCATATTATACTGATTTCTGAAGATCATGTGACACTGAAGACTGGAGGAATGATGCTGAAAATACAGCTGCGCATCACAGACATACATTACACTTTAACACATATTCACACAGAAAACAGCTGTTTTAAATTCTAATAATATTTCACAATTTTAACTGCATTTTTAATCAAATAAATGAACCCTTGGTGAGCAGAAGAGACTTCTTTCAGTAACATTAATAATCTCAGCAACCCGAAATCTTGAATAGTAGTGTAAATATAGACGCAACATTATGGTGGGATGATGCTGATTTTTTTAAACCAATGCTTTAGTTTGGAGGTTGTACGAGGAGATTTTGTCTAAGGGATACTTCTGCAATGTTTACCGGTGGGTTGACTGCCTCCAACCAGAACATCTCTCTGTATCTTCCCATCATCCTCATCGATGGCAAACCAGCGGCCGATGGGAAACTCGTACACGGCCTTGTTTCCCAAATCATCCACTATGACCTGAAATAAAAGCAGACAGCAGAGGTGAGCGCTGGGTTTCCGTGTGAACAATCTATGTGCATATCTATCTGAGGCGGCGGCTCTCATCCGCAGGAAAACCAATCCAGTAGAGTAGTGCGGTGTTTCCTTTCAGTGTGGATAAGGTGACGAGAATGACCTCATCCTGAGAGATGTGATGTGAGGTGGAGCGCGGCTCTCCAACAAGATGAAAAACTTCAAGACAAACTTGTTGATGTTGGCTTGAGAAAGCCTGAGAGCATGAAGTAGCTGTAAAAGTTTGAAACAGTTCAAAAGTTTGAACGTTCAGTGTAATTTTAGCCCTTAAAACTAATCTTTTGATAATCAAAATGACATACAAGTGTTACAATTAACTTGTTTTTTGAAAGCAACTCTACAAGCTTACCTTATTTAGTATGCATGGATCTATGAATATGCTAATTATTCCCCGCCTCCACTTTCACTCAGTGAACTGAAGCAGTAAACGCCAACATTTTCACATTTATGATCGACCTTTGACTACAGTTTCATGTCATCTAAAGTCTCTATTTATAGATACGGTAGCTTACAAACTCATAATTCATAAAGAGAGCTTTCTATGTTCGAATAGTCATCAGACAATAATTACACAATTTTGATTATGTAAAACCAACAATATGATAACATGATTTCTTTGGATTGTTCGACTGAGAATACAGCAAAATATAACATAATTTGTGTATCCTGCTAGCTAAATTTCACATACATACACAAAAATTCGGCTCTAAACCTCTCTTTTCTTTATTCAAAGTTGATCTAGACAAGTACATGGAAACTATCTGAAGCTCTGTTCATCGTAAAAAACTGTATCTCTATATTCATCCTATGTGTTCTCTTAAAGTGTACATTTATTACTTTTTTTGTTAACCTGGCGAACACATCCCTTATGAAAATCATGGTTTCACTTTAAACATGGCTACTATCATTAAATCATGGTAACTACAAATTACCCATGGTTTTACTATAGTAATGATAGTTTAGCCATTGTATTAGTAGTAAAAAATTTGTACTTATACTGTAAGTGCTGTAATACTGTGTTATATTGTACAAATGGTAACCAACAGGCCTATGCCAAAAAAACTACGGTTAGTCTTTTAGCTCTAAAACCATGGTTGATTTTCTTAAGGGATTTGTAAATTTGTACACTTTATTTCTTTTTTCTTTATTGTTTTGTTTTTATAACTGCACTGCCTTAATGGTTTGATGTTTTGCACTGATTAATAAAGAAAAGAAGAAAAAATATTCTCAATTTAAATCAAATAATTCGCGCGCCAAAAAACTCATCAAAAACTTTGAGTGCCTTGGATTGATGAGTTTTTTGATGATATAAAAGTATCCCTGCATCCAAAGAGCACCGATTCATGGAGTTCACACCCCTGCAGCATTTTTTTGCATATTTTTAGATGCATGAGTCATGCTCCAAATTTGCCGATCTGAATCAAATAATTCACAATACACGCTCCGAAGTCCCGATCTGAATCAAAAGATTCACGAACACACACCGAATTTCCATTCTGAATCAAATGATTCACATACCCACTCTTAAGTTCTGATCTAAATCAAATGATTCACGAACCCGCACCGAAACCTCGACAATCAAAAGATTCACGAACCTTCTCCAAAACCCCGATCTAAATCAAAAGATTCACGAACGCACTCCCAATTTCCGTTCTGAATCAAAAGATTTACAAACCCACTCCAAAGTTCCGATCTAAATCAAACTATTCACTATCCATGCTCCGAAGTCCCGATCTAAATAACAATTCGCAAACCATCACTTCATATTCGGAACACATATGACGAATCATTCAATTCACAAAATGATTCACGAACCCGCTCCGAAGGTCCGATATGAATCAAAAGATTTACAAACCCACTCCAAAGTTCCGATCTAAATCAAATTATTCACTATCCATGCTCCGAAGTCCCGATCTAAATAACAATTCACAAACCATCACTTCATATTCGGAAACACATATGACGAATCATTCAATTCACGAAATGATTCACGAACCCGCTCCGAAGGTCTGATATGAATCAAAAGATTTACAAACCCACTCCGAAGTCCCGATCTAAATAACAATTCGCAAACCATCACTTCATATTTGGAACACATATGACGAATCATTCAATTCACGAAATGATTCACGAACCCGCTCCGAAGGTCTGATATGAATCAAAAGATTTACAAACCCACTCCGAAGTCCCGATCTAAATAACAATTCACAAACCATCACTTCATATTCGGAAACACATATGACGAATCATTCA